GTAATATAGCACATATCTGTTAGCAAAATGCAGAACAGCTCTGGGAAAACCGTTTCAGGAAATGGTCAGAGCAAGTATCTTTGAGTTTGACAGAGATGTCCTAACTGCTCCACTCAGCCCCTGCAATGGAATAGCAGCCTCCCAACACAGAAGTGAAGGGTCTGGCTGGGTTTCGCTGCAGTTTTATTTACATAGCCAGCTTCGGCTGTGTATGACCCCAGGGCAGCAGTCCAGTCCCCTGGACTTAGAAAATGATTTCAGAGTTTCTGAGGAAGAGCCTCCTATTTTAGGGTAACAGGAGGCGCTCTCTGAAATCCTCCCTTCTTACTGTGTGTGCAGTTGTTACATCTGATACTTGTGTAATTTATGTCTCCTGCACAGGTGAAATGAACTTCATTTTTTTCTATTCCTTTTTTTTTTTTTTTTTTTTTGACCTACCACTGTTACTTTAATTTTTAACCTCTCTGTTGGAAACTAACCTTGACCCACTGGCCAAGTTCAGCAATGTTCACAGCCTCAGGGGATTAGAAGTGGGTGGCAACCCTTTTGATCTCTGCCGTCCAACTGCACCACCAGGTGTGCCCTACTAGGGGAGCAATTCTCAGGCCAGATTCAGCTGAGCAGGTGAAAAGCTGTCAGCATCTATTCTGGCAGGCTGAGGGCCTCTTTCCTTCTTCCAAGCACCTTGCCTGAGGGGCGAGTCTACATCACACCACACCAACAGCCAGGGTGGCCAACCTAGTTGGGCCAGATGGCAGAGGGTTTGAGAGGGTTCCAGAGGGACAGGGACCAAATGCCGCTGTCAACCTCGGGCTGCTCTGCAGGTGTGAGCTCCCTGACTTCTAGTTCAAGGACCTGTGTTATCTTCCCAGCAAAGCAGAGATTATAGACATCGCTAATTATTTCTGAAATGCTAATGAACAAATCCTGTAATGCGGGTTTCTGATACTTACAGTGCTCTGGAGAGGCCTTTGGAGATTGGATGCGAGACCTGGGTATTTAAAATGATAACTAATAGCTCCTAGATAATACTTAAAGGTAAATTATACCCCCTCACACACTGTTTATACTCAAGACGATTCAGAGTGCCACAGAGACAAGGTAACATTGATTCTTAAGTTAGTGAACTCTAGATACTTTTCCCCCAAATACTTTCTGCTATGTTATCATCTACATCTTCTAAAAAACCATTAGATCGGGTATTTTCCCTCTATAAGGAAGGAAGTTGTGAATTTTCTCCCCTTCACTCCCCACGTTCAATCACCAAGCCCTGTTTATTTTACTTCTTAAATGTGCCAACCCAAATGCTTATTCCACACCTCCACCCACATTCATCCACCCTCCGGACCACAGAGGGCTTGGTCTCCTGTTTTGTCATTAATAGCTTGTGTCTAGTAAGTATATACTATGTGCCAGATTTTTGTGGTTTTTTTTTTTTTTTTTTGAGACAGAGTCTTACTTTGTCACCCTTAGTAGAGGGTAGTGGTGTCACAGCTCACAGCAACCTCAAACTCGTGGGCTCAAGTGATTCTCTTGCCTCAGCCTCCCAAGTATAGGCGCCCACCACAACACCCGGCTATTTTTTGGTTGTAGCTGTCATTGTTGTTTGGCAGGCCTGGGCTGGATTTGAACCCACCAGCTCTGGTGTATGTGGCTGGTGTCCTAGCCGCTGAGCTATAGGCACCAAGCCTGTGTGCCGGATGCAGTGTTTTATAACATTGAAAATGTATTAATTCACTTGTCTTCAACATCCTCACGCAGGGGTCCCATCTGCATCCCCACTATGGGGAACCACAAAGCCATACAGCACAAAGCACACCTGAACTGGGTCTTGCAGTTTCTAAGAAGAGGGCTTTGCAAACACCACAAGGCTTTCTCTGACCTCAAGCCTGGGTAGGTTTCTCCTCCTACAAATGTTCCCAGAGCACCCTGTACTTTTCCTATCATAGTATTCATCGGGATCTAGCATCACTATTTACACATGGATGTGCAAGTCTTCATAGTTAAATAATATAAAATTATTAACTCACAGTTTTTCAGAAAGGCATAAAATCTCTCTGCCTGTTTTCTTTCTCTTGCCATCCCTCCACCCCACAGCCTGTGGATCTCAGTCCCTTGAGGAACCCAACAGACCAAAGGAAATGTGAATTCTCTTTACATTTCCCCACCTCCTTTGTCATTTAGAATTTGTTCCTCTAAGCCTCAGTGATTCCTGAGTGTCCCTGATAGATGAACAATCAGGCTTCAGAATTAGAACCACGTAGAATGGGGACAGTCTGCAACCTTGCCAGGGGACAAATGGACAGGGCATTCACATTCACAGTAACTTGTGAATTTGGCTGGAATTGCATCTCCCCTCTCCCCTTAAATTCAGCTACCCACTGGACCTCAGGGCTGAGGTCTTTATTTCTTTGAGATGCCGCCCATTCTCTCTTGCTCCTTTTCTCTTCCTCTCCATCTTCCCTTCTCTCACTCCCGCTCTCTGCTCTCTTTCTCATCTCTTCCCCTTACTCTTTTCCCTTTAATATAAAATAAATTTATACTTTTATCTTGGCCTAGAGAAATTCTTTTCTCTTCGAGCTCAGCACCAACTGGCAACTAAGCATTTTCCCAAACCTATCAGCAGCGCCCACCTCTTCTTGACTCATCCTTCTAAGCTGATGGGACTACAGGCTTATTCACTGCCTGGGGCCATGTGAGGGTCACCAGTGTCTTTTGCAGAGAATCTGGAGGGGATGCCCCAGTTCTCACTGCTCCTTGCTAACTGGCTCACGCGAGTCTCTGTTGCCATGGGAACCTCCCTCCCTTCCCTCCTGGGACCTCAGCATCATTTCCTCAAGGAACCTAAGCTTTCACAAGACAAATGTCTTGAGCAACTTCGGGTGTTTCCTTTCTCGGCAGTCTTTCTTGAGGTAAGGGATGACACATCAAAGCATAAATAGCAAATTTTACAATGCTCTGTGCACAGCCAGGAAAACAGAGGACAAAATAACCAATGACCCAGTACTCAGCCTTCCCTGGGGACCAGGCCTGCCTGGTTACCCTCTGCGTCCCCAAGGCCCAGCAGGGCCCGTGACTCCAGCAGTGCAGAACAACCGCTAGGTGAAGGAATAAAGGAATGAATAAATCTGAGGACAGCCGTTAACACAGTTATTTTCCTAGTTTACTTCTGAATTGGAGCAAAAGTAATGGAGTTTCCTTTTGGGTGGGTAGGAGTGTGGGAGTTTGGCAGACGTGGGTTTATAGCTCGAGTTGGAAGCCAAACGTTAAATAACAGGTACTCACTTCCTAGGTACAAGCTGTTCTCGCCACTACTTGCACGCCAAGTCAGCCAGAGCTGGCCTTCCTCTCTCTGTCTCCCTGACCTCAATTCCTAGCACGCGCCCCAGATTCACTCTACTACACCTTTCTGTTTCTCCAGCGTGTCAAGCTTGCTCCTGCCTCAGGATCTGTGCTCTACTGTCCCTTCATGGGACAGTCCCTCCCGGAGTATCTGCCTCCTTTTTGGCCCTAGCATCAATGCCACCTCTTCTTCCCCACCTCCGTGTCTAAAGCAGCCCTGGCCACATCCACCTCGGCATCTTTCCAGAGCCAGCAAGAAGGAGAACGAACCAGAGTGGGAATGGTGGAGGATGAAGAAATAAGACACAGGAAAGACATACACAAGAAACCAAGATAGGAAGGGTGGTGTGGCTGATGACTGCAGCCAGCACTGAATTGTGGAAACAGCTTTATTTATATAGTATCTAATTAAGGTAAATCTTAACACCTGGGGTAAAGATTAACTTTAAGAAGGAAAAGCTGTGTGCTCGTGCTCGCATGGGCTGCATGGGCAAAAGAATGTTTATTGTTAAAGGAGAAGCAGGTGGGAGGCCGTTCCTTGAAGTCTCAGGCTGTGCGGGCCCTGGCACCTTACAGCCCATACTCCACACGCGCCTCCCACTCACTTCGTACAGCTACATTTTCTGAGCACCGATCACCCCAGGAACTCGCCTCCTTCACCCCTCTGTCCTCACTGCCAGGCCCTCTGAGTGAAGGGAATGTCCACTGGATTCAAGATAAAGCCGCACCATGAAACCCCGGTTGTAAATTCTCCGGTAAACTTCAGCAAACTCATGTATCCTATCTTCGTCATTCTCACTTCCGATCTTTAGGATAACTGGAACAGTTTTCAGACAAAAGAGCTGGTGGAGCCTTAATAACCAGGAAATAGACCCACACAGGGGAAGTAAATAGGAAATGTCATAAATGACATGAAGCGAGTCAGCTTGCTGGGGGGGGCAGGACACAGCGTCTCTTCCGCACTGATCCTCTAACCCCGTCTCACGTGGACCTCACCTAAAGCGTTTATCCAGCTCATAGAGACTGAGCACCAGCGGGGAGTTAGGGGGGTTGGGGGCGGATAATGGATCAGCCCCTCCACATCCTCTTTACTTTCCAGCGACCGAAAGCAAGCAAACCAATAAAGCAAGGTAACTGCAGAAAGACATCAGTTGTTAAGACAGGCAGACAGGACTGGGGAGAGGAAGGATGGGGGGAGGGGAGGCTCCTACAGCCAGCAGGACCCAGGGTACGTTTATAAAGCAGAGAGTCAGGGCGAGTTTGCACCTGCTGCGCCTCTCTCAGGAAACCCGTCCCCGCTCGTGACGTCCGGATGCGTCCTTCGCGTCTCGATTCTGCTCGAATCCCGCCTGGGCAGGAGGCCTTTCCTTTCCCAGAGCATCCTTGCGCAGCACGACCCGCTGGCGGCCCGCGCCCTGTTGGCTTTCTCAATTCCCCAATCACTCGCGCGCCGAGTGAGCACAGACTAGGGCCCCAGCATCGGGGTTTGCTGGGATCCGACCCACCCTCCACGAGCGGAGACCCGCTGCCTTCCCCGCGCGCCCCGCGCCCCTCGCGCTCCGGCACGGCCGTTTGGGTACCCCGCCCGGGAGGCCCCCCGCGCGTTAGGTTCCTAGCCAGTGGCCCCAGGCCTTGCGTGCCCGCGTGCTTGCACCTACCGGACGCGCTCAGCAGTGACCGCGTTGCCGGTGTGCGGCCGCAGCACCGCCAGGAACAGGATCCGCATGCCGCCGCTGCCGGGCCATCGACCGCCCCGCCGCCGCCGACTAGGCCCCGGGGAAGGCGCAGACGCGGGCGCCCGGGCGGCGGGTGGTGGCGCTAGGTCTGTCGCGCCGGCCGCTGATCCCTGGGCCGGGTCCCGCTCGTAGGTTAGGGCGGTGGGGGGAGGGATGGGGCCGCGGGGCAGGGGAGGGCGGGAAGGAGAGAGGGATAGGTAGGGCGGGGAGAGGGCCCGGACTGGGAGTGTCCCGAGGAGGGGAGAGGGATAGGTGGGGCGGGAAGAGGGCCCGGACTGGGAGGGTCCCGGGGAAGGGACGTGGGGGGAGGGGGGTGCGCGCGGCGGGGAGGAGGCGCGCGGGGCCTGAGGAGCTTGGGTGGAGAGTCCCGTGGGCCCACTCCCACCAGGAGCAGGATCTGGGATTGCTGGGTGTTGCTCCCCACGGAGACCATGATGAAATCCGCGAGTGGGCTTCTCGGGGCACCGTGGTAGCTGCGGGTCTGTGCCCACGGGGACCGGACGGGCCGAGCCGAGCCCTGGGGTCCACTACCTCGAGGTGCTGAGAAGGGATTCATTGTGCACCACGAGGAGTGCGCTCAGGGAAAGAGGGAATGAGGTGGGTGCGCGAAGCCCTGGGTTTCTCTCTAGCCATATTCCGTGGGAAGTGGCATTGTGATTTGGAATTCTTCACCTAACCCAGGCAACCCTAAAACTAGCCAGAGAGGAGAGTGGAGGGACTGGGTCTGCAGACAGTGGAAACCCACGTGAGAACCACACCTGTGCGGTGAGGCAGAGCTTTAGCCTGGAACCTGGGTCCATCCAGTGCAGGGGCAGCTCAGCCTACTCAGCTGGAAACGGTGAGCTGCACAGAGCTGGAGCTCCTGAACTGGGTGAGAAAAGTAGGAGACTGAAGGAGGCTTAAGGCAAACTGCCCTCTGTGTGGATTCAAAACACTCACCCAGCTAAGTGTTTGCAAGACGCATGTACATTTAAGGATATGGAATGCTGAGGTAGGATCCCGATATTTTGATTAACTTTTGAGCTTGAGTCCTCTCACCCTAAAATACCCTAAGTTTCAAAGGGACAGAAGAAACGGGAAAACCGTAAGATGCCTGATCACCTTCAGAGGAGGTCTCCATCCTTATTCTGCACCACCCATCACAACCTCCAAAAAAGTCACCCTACCGGGACACCGGCAGCAGCTACACAAGCCTTTACCAGCAATCCCACCTCTCAGTGGGGCTAGGGGTCCGGGAGTTTTATATTATTACTGTATAACTAACAATTTTGTCACCCCACATTCCCAAAAAGGACTTGGGGCTTTGCTCTTCTTTTTGGTATTTCAGCTTCCCAGGCACCAGTGGGGCAGGCCTCATCATGGCTTACAGACAAAAGCGATCTGACAACATTAACATTCTGCCCATCAGGCTGGGCCTGTCTTATCACTCTGGGAGGCCAAGGCCAGAGGATCACTTGAGCTCAGGAGTTGAAAATAAGCCTGAGCAAGAGCCAGATACCATCTCTACAAGAACAGAAAAATTAGCTAGGTGGAGCAGCATGTGCTTGTAGTATAAGCTACTCAGGGGGCTGAGGCATAAAGATGACTTTAGCCCAGGAATTTGAGGTTGAAGTGAACTAGGCTGAGGCTATGGCACTCTAGCCTGGGCAACAGAGTAAGTCACTCTCTCTCAAAAAAAAAAAAAATCTGCTAAACAGCTTAAAATACTTTTAAGCAGAATTTCATAGTCCAACAGGAAAAGGGGCAAGTTGAACAGAGCTGCCACAAACTCTTTTGGAGGCAATTCTAGAAAAAGGGTTTCAAGTGTATTTACTCCTGACGGCTTGATACACATGGGGAAGAGGAAATGAAAAGCAATTTTTAGAATGGAGTATAGACATAGAGTCTGGGCCCTTTCACATGATCTTCCCCTGTTCCATTTATGCAATATTAAAGGTTAAATGTGAACAGATACACGTCACTGATTTCACAAAGGAAACTTTAGCCTGGTCTAGTAAGTGGTAGTAAGCAAAGTCAGTGAACCGGCAGCCCTGCAGGCTCAACATTATCATAGATGTATTGTGTTCAGACTACACAGTGTTTTTAAAAAGTTGAGTCCCCATTTAAAAATTGGGAGCTTTTGTACAGAAATTGGAATTTCTGGTATCTGTTGAAAAATGAGCCATCTAACAGTGTGAAGCCACCATTCCCATAGATGATGGGAGCTTAAGCAGCAGCTGCCACATGGGACCAGAACTGGCCATTTCACTCACAGTAGTAGAAGGCTCACTTCAATTCCTCTATGACCCCTGTGTTTCTGTTTTTAGAATAAATTGAATTGTATTTCTCTTCTGTAAAATAAGTTCAGGAGGAGATACCCCAAGCTCATGTATAGTGGCTCCATGATCACTAGGAGCTCAGACGTCCCTCGGTCCACTAGAGGATATAGAGGATATTTGTGTTTGGCGTCTAGTGTCAAGATGACCTCAATGTTGCAGAATGGCTGCTGCAGCCCCACACATCACATTCACATTCCAGGCAGCAGGAAGGACAGGTAAAAATAGTGCACTCAAAATGGTGCATTTAATTTAAAGGGGTTTTCCTGGAAATTCACACACTCCTGTGCTTTGTCTTATGTGCTACATGACTACTACTGGTTACATCCAAGGAAGCTGAGAAATGCAGTCTGTTTATTAGCTGCACACATTGCTACTGGTAATAAAATCATGATTCCTAAAGAAAAATGGGAGAATGGGTTTGAAGTAGGTCATCTCTGTAGTATAACTGGCAGTATAAATTAATAAAGGAGGAAAATCAAGTGACCTTCTCAATAAGTACGATAAGAACATTCAGTAAAATTCAGCACTCATTCCTGATGATAGAAAAGAAATAAAAAGGAAAGGAAGAAAGAAAGGAAGGGAGGAAGAAGCAGCAGCCACCTCAAAATTCAGGAACTAGAAAGAACCTGATTTTTGAATCCTTTCAAATAAGAAAGACCTGCCTCTGGGATTTTCTAGTTCCCTCTGCAACTTAGAAGCATTGAACCAGGTGCGCAACTGCTCTCCAGGAGGCTCTTGAAATTTGGGGGTGTGGAAGGAAATTTATTGTCAGAATAATCAAGGAATACCTTCAATATTTCACAACCAAGACTAGGAAGGTCTTAACACCTTGTGATGTACCGAACAGCCCTGCCCGAAGAAAAACTGTTCTTCTCCAAATGCCGAGAGATACCTGCATTAGTCAGAGTTCTCCAGAGAGAAAGCACCAGGGAAGATTTATATGCAAAGGTGGAGATTTATTATGAGGAATCGGCTCACGTGAAGGTAAAGGCTGAGAAGCCTGCAAGCTGGAGAAGCGGGAAACCTGAGGGTGTAATTCAGGTCACTTGTGAAGGTCTGGGAAGTAAGTGAGCTGAAGGTGTAAATCCTGGTGTGAAGGCTGGAAACCGGAAATGAGGTGTCCCCCTTTAAGCAGTGAGGCAGGGAGGAAAAAGACAGTGAATTCCTCCTTCTACTTTTTTTTGGTTCCACCCAGGCTCTCAAAGGAGTGGAGGTATCCCACCCAAGGGTGAGAGCAACCTGCTTTTCTGGGTCCTCCCATTCTAAGGCTAATCTCACTGGGAAACATCCTCCCAGATACACCTAGAAATAATGAAGAGGGTGCCAAAAACTGTATACATATGTTAAGAAAGGAAAAAAATGATATTAAAATTGTAATATTCAATATATACTGACCAAAAAGGATGAATACAAGCCACGTTAAGCACTTCTAGTAATTGCAGAAGTCAAAAGTGACTTGAGTCTTACAATTTTAATACTGTTTTTTCCTTTTTGAAATGGGTATGCATTTGGGGGGAGCACCCTCTGTATTTAATCTGGGCACCCCGTGGCCCAGTCAAATTGAGACATGGAATTTACCATCACAATATCTCTTGCCCTCATGGTTGAGAAATATTGGATGTGCCAAATTCTTTTTTGTTTCCCAAAATGTGATCATTTGTCTACTTCTGGTTATGATCCTCTGCCCTCCAGGCTGGTCTTTCCGTAGCCCAAGCTGCAGTAACAAATTACCACAAACTGGGTGGCTTTTCTCTTAGTTCTGGAGGACAGAAGTCTGAGATCACAGTGTCAGCGGCATTCCCTCTTGAGACGATAGGGGGAGTCTGTGAGCTGCTTCTTTCAGCCTCGGTGGGTGTCCCTTGATTTGTGGCCACATCAATCTCTGTCTCAGAGGCCACTTGGCTGCCTTCTCTGCTGCCTGTCAAATCTCTCTTTGCAAGCTTCTTAGGAAGGCACTTGTCTTTGGATAGAGGGCACACTGAATAATCTAAAATGATCTGATCTTTACATCTCAAAACCCCATTCTTAATTACAGCAAAAAAAAAAAAAAAAAAAAAGAAAGAAAGAAAAATCCTTTCTGCATAATGTCACTGCCCTGGTTTGAATGTTCGTGTCCTCTCCAAAATTCATGTGGAGGCTCATGCCTGTAATCCTAGCAGTCTGAGAGGCCAAGGCAGGTCTATTGATTGAGTTCACGAGTTTGAGAACAGCCTGAGCAAAAGCAAGACCCTGTCTCTACTAAAAATAGAAAAACTGAGACAAGACGATAGCTTGAGCATGAGTTGGAGTCTCTGTGAGCTATGATGCTATGGCACTCTACCCAGGGCGACAGCTTGAGACAATGTCTCAAAAAACAAAACAACAAAATTCATGTTGAAAGCAACTCTCTGATACAATAGCATCAAGAGGTGAGGCCTTTAGGAGGTGATTAGTCCACAAGTGCTCCATCTGCATGGGTGGCATGTCACCTGAAGAATGATGAAGTTCATACATTTGGAGAGGTTATTCTTCGTAAAGGGTGGTAGCCTGCAGAAGCCTCCAGCCAGAAGCTGAAAATAGGCACTTTGAGGGTGAGGTAAAGAGAACAGAAATGTTTGCTGAGTGGGTGGTGAATATACATATTTAACAAGCTGTTGGAGGAATTGCAAATATTTGTGAAAGGAAAAAAGTGCATGTGTACAGTGGAGCTTCCTCACAGGGTCCATGTTCAAAAGTGGTGGTGTTAGCATGATCCTAGGGGAGAGTTCTTAGCCCTCTGACGTCAAAAGGTAGAGCAGAGGACACACAGGTCCTCTA